CCACCCCCAAGACTACCTAGTAGCAGGAATATGCTTATTTTGCTGAGTTGTTCCGATTCAGTAGCTTTTGCTGTGTAAAATGCATATAAGTTAATGTTGCTTTCTTGAATGAAATAGTAGTCTTATGAATGCTTGTTCCTAGCACACTGAAAACTTTTTGCCAGCTCCTTTGTCTAAACAGTTTTGTATAGTGAACAAAAGCTTTGATATTCTTACTACTTCGCTCTTGAAATGCATATTAGCCTTGAAAAAGTATAATAGCGTATCATGTTTCTGTTGGGCTCAAACTAAGGTGCTACTTCCAGAATTATAAAAGAATTCTAGTCCCTTGTTTATGTCTTTCCAAAGAGCCTGCCTAAAAATAATATCGTGTAAAGAAAAAACACTTTGCAATACTGAAACCAGAATTTTAAAGAATCTTTTGGTTCTTTTGTGCAGCCTGCACGTACATGTGTGTATTTCTTGGGAGGAAGTAGCCTTATCAAGTTACCACTTAAAATAATGGCTTAATCATCTTAAATCAGAAGATAGTGTCGCGTTATTTTCAGTGGGGTTTAATTATTATGATGTTCCTCTCTTTTTTCCTGGTTTGTTTCAGTGATTATAAAATATTGGTGTAGACATTGGAGTAACTTTCTTTAATTCTCATTTCAGACTTCAGATAAGAATTGGAATCCATGTTTACATGATGAAACTGCCAAGTTATTCTACAAGGTATGGTGTAAACTGTATGCTAAAGAAAAAATTGTTAATTAAACAAGCTGAATTAGAGTTCCATACACAGAAAGGGAGATCAAGAAAACATGTAACTGTATAGGCTCCAAAATAAAAGGATGCATATTCTGCAAGGAACATTCTGAATATTTTTATTCATCCAAAATTTGTGAAATCCAAATTATTAATCTAAAATTTGTAGGTATTAATACATATGTTCTGTTGTATTTTCAGCTTGTACGACTGGATAACCTTTTTGCTTACTGGAATGTGAAATCAGAGATGTTCTACCATGGTGGTTGTGATGAATCATTGGTAAGTAAAGCATGAGATAATATATCTAGTGTAGTATTCATACTGTGAAGCATGGAGAGTGCTCTTCATTCACTTCTGCTTCCATTTATGTCAGTGTCCTGGAGAACTGTCTCGTTACTAATAGGTGTTTTAGGATAAATAATAGAAGTTAAGGTTTTTATGTGATGAAAATACAACAGAAAGTTAAAAAACGTAGTCCTTCGCGAGTTACAGAATTACACACAATATATGGTCATTTTACTCTTCAGTGATTGTTTTAGTTAAAAATAGAAGCCTTATTCTGTTTAAATCATAGATTAATATTTTGAATTGTACTGTGTATCAGAGGCATTAAAATGGTAACATTTTATCTTTTAAAACTTTATAATAAAATAAAAATGCAACTTAATTTTAACTCCATTGTGTATGTAGGCTCACTTAAAACAGGGAGTTGCCAGCCACAATGTGATTCCAGAAGGTTATGATTTTGGTAAGTGATATTTTATTTGTATTTGTAATATGCATATATACTTCTAATTTTTAATGTCTCTTAGAGGTTGCTACTTTGGCTGTTATTAAAAAATCTTATAAAGGAGTGCAGTTTAGTTCTTTTGTAGGAATAACTGTCTGTCTGGCAGTGAGTACTGTACCATATCTGTAGACTTAAAAAGGCTTTGATTAAAATATGAATCTTGAGTCATGTATCATTTTAATGGAATATCATACATAAATCCTTATTGTTCATATCCATTGTTAATTCCTTATTTTAAGAAGTTTAGCAGTAATATATGCATCATGTAAGTTTTGTGAATGAGATTGGTTTGAGTAGTAGATAAATGTTTTTGAGGTCACCTGCCTTATGCAAAGACTTTTTTTTTTTTTTAAGTGTTGCCATATCGCAAGTTGTATTGCTTTGATTGTTGCTTACTTTAGTCCGAAAGTTGCATTGGCTTCACTTAAACATGGCGGTTGTTTAGTTTTCATTGTATAGAAAATATATGTGGTTTGTTTCTCATGTGCACCTATGTGATTCGGTAGTAACTGTTTACAAGAAAGACTGGCCTTTGAAGTGGCTTGTTCTCTTGCAAGCAAGTCCTCAGTTTGCTATAGCCATGGTTTAAAAGGGCACTTCTAGTTTTATGGGTTTTTCTTAACGCCTTTACTGGAATCTCTTTTTATCTCTTTATTTGACCACCAGAGAACTATTTAGTAATTTCTTCTGATTTCTTATCCGTATTTTTTAGTTGCTAGCTTTGGCTCTTTTTACAAGAAAGTAAGTTTAAATATCATCAGTTGTCTAAGTCTTTACATAGAAGTTCAAAATAGTTGTATGAAATGGCAGGATTTACACTCCTAAAATTCAGTGGTGCCATCAGAAACTCAGATATTTAAAGAATTACATCATGCTGATATTTTGTGGTAAATAAAAATTATGGCTCTTTTAGAGCAACTCTTCAGACTGAGACATTGGTAGAAAGGTAGTAAGCAGAGAATCCTCTTCTGTCGTTTGGTGTAAATGCAGACATAATACTTACACATAGGAAGGATGAAAAATTAAATTTAGGAAACTAAATACACAGAGAAAATGAATAGAAATGCTACCACATAAAATATGTAGATAAAAGTAAAATAAGCTTCACAAGAAATACAGGATTTGTAATGAAACAAAAGTAAACTGGTATAAACATGGTTTAATCTTGCAAAAATGTCTCCACTTGTATGAACCTTTTGATCAATGTACAATATTTGGTATGTGGACGGTCTATCAGTATTTCTGTTGAAATCAAAGGAATTTCATTTGATAAAAATACACAAATTCAAGTAATATACAAATTCTTATTGTTGGATCAATTGCTGAAAAAGATGGAAAAATTGAACTAAAAAATGGCTTCTGAAGGCTATATTAAATGCCTAATATTGACAAATAAAACATTTATTCTCTGAATATTTTTCATGTGATGTGCTTCACTTTATGTAGCATCCATATTGATTTTTTTTTTTCCATGCCGACTTGGGCTTGGATCTAGAAATGCAGAATGTTTAGTTTTATCCATTCTTGTTAGTGTAATTTATCAAAGAGTGTAAAACATTGGTAACATTAAAAAAAAAACAACTTATAGAATAAGAGTTATTATAGTGAAGTGCTGTGTTTGAAGCTATCTTGTACTATAAATAGCTTATGTAATAGTAAAAACATTAGATTTTTTGCAAATTTAATCTATTAATAGAAACATCTGCAATGTAATACTGCATACAGGAAACCTTGTGTAAATATGCCACAAATATTTGTTCTGCAAATGTTGGCAGAAGGAAACTGGGAATTGAGTATAGATTGTATTCTATTTTAAGCTGTGTTGTTGGAGCCTTCATGTTTTGAAGTCTAGCATTTTTGAATGAGTAAGCTAGCTTAATTGAGCTGATAAGTACTATGTATCATTTTATGTCAGTTTTAAATAATTGAATTGTACTTTCTGTATCAACTTCTGTTTTTCAGTATTCCGCCCAATTTCAGCTAAAGCCAAACTTCTTATGAATCCTCGATCTGATGTTGACTTTTCATCACCGAAAATGGATTTAGATGTAAATTTGCAGGATATAACTGTTGAATTCAATAAACCACAGGTATAAACTATTTTTCTGAAGTTATATATAATGTGGTGAAACTTAGTTTGTAAGAATAAGAAGAAAAGCAGTCTGAAATTTTATAAAAAACATACAGAATTTATTCACTTCTTAGTCTTATTTTGTAAATTATTTTCCTTTTGAAGAGAAGCTTTATTCACATTGTCCTGAGAAGGACAGTAACACTCAGTTTGAATGTTTGTTTGTTTTTTAGTACTTCAGTGTTATGGAGCTTCTTGAGTCTATTGATATGATGACTCGAAATCTGCCATATAGGAAGTACAGGCCTGATGTTCCTTTGCACAACAATGCCAAGACATGGTAGGCCACCTCAGACTTTAAAAATAATTTGTTAGTTATTAATTTGAAATAATTACCAAGGGATTGTTTCTTATTTAAGGAGGTTAGAACTGATTTCCTTCTGAAACAGTGTCTTCTCTTCTGTTTTTGTTTGGTAAGCTATGCGTATTAAAAAAAACATCGGTAAGGACTTCAAATCAAAGGTGAGGACACAGTATTTGAAAGACTGAATTTACTGTCTTAAAGACCATTATCAAAAACTTAAGTCTGATAGTATTTTAATATCCTAACTCTGTTTTAATGAAGGAGACCCAATTATATGTTAGGTACTGTTACAAGAACATGGCTGTTGCCTAAATATAGGTGAACCTTTTCAACACAGATGATGGAGATCTGATTTCTTTTCAGAAGATTCCTTACAAATATGTTTTGATTATTCACACGCGCACATGTATGTATTTGTGGGCACTTTTTGTACAAGGTTACCTTTTAATTTTAGGAAATAGCAACATACCAACTTTGTGTGGGGAAAAAAAGAAAATCCTTGAGTTCCTCTGCTGATCAGCAGTGTGGTATTAAACAAAGGATTTCACTCTTTCACTACTTGAAGTTGTATTTAATGGGAGTCTGCATAGCTCTGGGTGTCTTTTTGATATATATAAAAAAAAAGTAAACGATACTTCATTTGTCTTTACTTTTAGGTGGAAATATGTTATTTATGGCATCCTTGAAGTTAATGTTCAACCTAAGCTCCAAATGTGGTCATGGGAACATATTCAGCACCATAGGAAACAAGTGAAGAACTATAAAGACATGTATAAAACAAAGATAACATCAAAAAAACCTAATGAAGAAATCTTAAAATTGTTGGAGGTTAGCCATTTTCCAGTAAAGGCTTAAATGTTGTTCTTACTGTTTTCTTAAATGTTTACATGTTCCTAAGTCAGTACGAAGCTAAAATAAAATTTTCAGTGGCCAGACTTGCAACTTCAATACCTTTCTCTGTAGTATTAACAAATTATGATATAATTTTTTTAAATTAGTGACTGCAGTAAAGAAAAACTTCAACTGATGTGCTTTTCTTTTCCAGGTTTATTTTAAGTTTTCAGCTTGAGCAAATTAACTTGAGTTGCACTGAAAGACTTGTTTACTGTCGCTTCCTGTCAAACTGAGCTGTGAAATCTAACCAAATGAAACTGTCAAAAAATAATTTCTCACCTTCTTTCTAGGAATTCGAAAAGGCCTTGGATATTTTTAACATCACTCTAGCAAGGCAACAAGCAGAAGTTGAGGTAAGATTTCATCATTTAAGTGAATCTAAGAATAGCTGCAACATGAGGCTGTGGAGATTTTAGGCAGATGCATTTTAGTTCTAGTCACTGAATTGTGCATCATGCGCTCTTTCTATTTTCCTTGCATTTCACATTTGTTATTATAAGGCATAGTTAGTTTCAGCTTGTAATTAAGCCAATGTTAAATAGCTCCGTATAATGCTGCTTCAGAATAGTTGATCTAAGATAAATTTCTTTCTGCTTTTGGTGGGGAAGATCTATTCAGCAAATGCAGAATACATTTAAGTAGACAATCACAATAAGGCAAGCTAATGCGACTTGAGTAGTTACACTGAATTTGTTAGCCATGTTTTTCCTAGGTTAGTGTACTGCTTAGTTTCCAGTATAATGTCTGAGCGTCATTCGAGGAGACTGAAGTGAAATCTGTGTAGGTTTTCTGAAATCTGTGAAGTGGTATTTGTCCATTAATAATAAGTGTGTCTGAAAGTAAGCCAAATGTGACCTTTAGAATCTGAAATAACATACCAGTTATTAAAATTCATGAACATCAGTCATTTCTTATGTCAGTCCTTGAAAGAATTTTTTTTTTTTTTTTTTTTTTTTTTTTGTGGTGGAATATATTAAGTATCATATGAATGCTGCAGGGATAGATAGGGTGCTTCAAAACCAAAACTCTAAACAGTAATCCATAAGTGTAGCTTTTCCTTCTAGTTGTATGTATACTCACGTTTGGATGCTTTTATGATCATTTTTCAGACTTCTGGAGAACCGGAAGGTACATTTGTGTCCCTCCCCTTCAGTTGCTTTTTTTCTAGACTTTGGAATTAAGCTCCTCAGAACTCACATTTGTGAACACTGTACCGTCTGATTTCCTCAGCTCTTTGTAGAAAGAACTTCATATTCCAAACCTTATGCCACTTTTTAATCTTTATCACTAGTGCTCGAAGTACCAAACACCAGCTTCAGTGAGCCAAGCGTCAAGTCTCTGTATCAGATAGCTTGATAAATTTTGTGCTTTCAGTCTAGAGAATACTTCATAGACAGTTCACCTAAATCAGAATACAGGATGTTGCTCTTGGTTCTCCCTTTCTTTTTGTCAAAACAGCTTACCTTGCTGAGTAATTTTTCCACAGATTATGACTGTATTTGTTACTAGACCATTGTAAATGGAGGATGGGGAAAGTTCAACAGAATTTCTTCAGGAAATTTCTTCAGTTCCCATACTGCACAAATGTTTTCTTCATCCTTGCAGAATTTCAATTCCTCTCCTTTCTATCTGTAGCCTTTCTTACCTTAAACTCTCGTGCCAGCTGCTGCCTCAGACATGTTGAGAATGATAGCTTCAGGCACTACTACTTTTTCTCCATGTTAGTTGTCCTTCAACGCTAACTCCCTGGTGTCCCAGAAACCTCTAATTTCAGAGGTTTAACAACCCTTTTTCCTAAGGCTTTGCCCATTCTTTCCTTGGACCATTCGCTCTGTAACATCTGCTTGATGACTTGGTATCCTTTATAAAGAGGAGTTTGGAGGATTTTTTTCAACTTTTTGAGGACTTATGTTGTTTAGATGACATTCTGCATTGTCTCTCTGAGGTGAATCAATAGTTGTCAGTTCAGAAGCCTGTATTGTTTCTGTGGTGAGTCCTGCCTTCTGTTGGCCTGTAGGTGGATAGCTGTGACAAGACCCTAAAAAGTTCTGATTTATAGCCAGCTGTTTTCCCTAATTGTGTTTTAGAGAGATCTTGGGTTTTCTAAATGCTATAAGGGATCCTTCTCTCACTCACTTTGGATATTATGTTCACTAGACATGTCTAAATTCAGGGCTTATCCGCAAGTGTTTTGTATCTTTTTTGATCATGTTAGCCATGAAGAAAAATAGTTAGTGTGGTCCATTTCAGTTTTGAGAACTCTTCTGTCTCTTAGGTCACTTGATGGTCATTTGCCGTCCCTTATGCCAAACTTTCAGTGGTCAAGTCTGCATGTGGTTTGCACTTTCTCTGAGGACCCAGTATTGGAATAATCGCTGGTATCAGCCAGGACACACCCTAGTTGTTGAAATAATGAATGTGGGAGAAGGGAGGCTTCCTTACTGTTATAACTATATATGTCAGATCCAGGAATAGTTTTCTATGTTCCTGAGAGTAAATACTCTATTACAAGAGTAATGATTTTTTCTTGTTGCTGTTACTGCTTTGGACATTTATCTGAAAATGAAAAATATAGGGATCATTTAAAATTTGGCCTGTGCTTGCTATTTAATCACTTACCTCTGTATTTTAAATGATTCCTTATAAGTGTTTTGTAATGTAGAGCACTGTATAATGTTGTGGAATTTTTTTTTTTTTGGTAGCAAGAGCTAGATAGAAAATCTGCTATGTAAGAAACATTGACTTAAAATCAGCTACACTTGCTTGCTCTTTTTGTTTGTAAAGATGGTTGATTTTATAAAAGTGAGAATTGGTCTAATGATGCACTGTATACTTGAAGAAGTTACTAGAAGAAAAACAAAAAAATAACACGTTGCCTTTTTAGTGGTTGTCTAATGATGTTTTGATGATTTAAGGCATATCTTGGGTCTGTATTTTTCTTAGGAAAATTAAGAAAGATGCATGAAGAAAATGACTTGTTTGAGTATTTTTTAAATTTCAGGCAACTAAGGCTGGATTAAAAATCTACAGACCAGGAGTGAAACAGGATGATGAAAATTCTGGTGGCTGGTTTAGTTGGATATGGAGCTGGTCAAGTGAAAAAAAGGATGAACAAAAACAAGAAGTAAAGGGTTCAAGTACGTTCTTTTATTGGTATTTTTTCCCCTACTATTAATGATGACTTATTAGAATAATAGATCCCTAGCAATGGAATTTTGGATTTGTTTAATATTTGAGCTAGCATATTATTGACGTTTACATTTTCTCTTAGCCTTTTTTTGCTGATTAAGTTGTTAATTGCATGTTACAGAGGTATCTTACATTTCCTTCCATAGGTCTTTATGAACTGTGTTCAATTTATACTTCCTCTTGCCACAGTTTTCACGTTTATCTGTGTGGTGTACTGTGTATGGGGATTTGAAGGAAGTGCTAGAAAGCAGTAGCAGTTAATGTAATGTAAACAACTTTATTTCCTTTAATTTTATAATTTGGCTATTTCATGCAGTGTACTAGAGTTTGATTCACTTAAGTACAGGGCACCTAATAAAGACTGTGGAACATGGAAAGTAAATCAAAAAGGTTGCTTCTGTTGTTAGCAAGCTAGGAAATAGAGTAGACCAGAATAAAAGTGTAACTGCCATTTTAAAGCATGCTTTATGAGACTCAAGACTTTGCTTTAAACCTCGGGGTTTTTGCTTTTACTAGTTCAGGACAATATTATCAGTATCTACTCTACATTATAGAGCTACCAAGTCCTGGAAAGTGTATAACAGTATTTGCATTTTTCAGATACCTATATGGAGTTTAACTAACCTCTTGCAATGTGACAGGTCTTGAAGAGCTGATGACACCTGAAGAGAAGGCTAAACTTTATGCAGCAATTGGATATAGTGAAACAGCTGTGGATCCAACCCTTCCAAAATCAGTAAGTCATAACCTACTATGACATCAAACAGTTACTAGCTTTATCGACTAATAAAAATCTAAAGATGATAGGAAATAAATGTTAAAATTTATTGAAGCTCTGTCTCTATATTTGAATACTGTTCTGGCACTTTTCAGTTAAGTTACTGCATTCTGGCTTTGTGCAGAATGGAGCATCCTTAGGTGTTTCAGGAGAGTGGTTATAGAGCTTTGGATATTCTGAAAAAGTTCATAATGAAATTTTGCTTGCCCAAGCTAGAATAAAGTAATGTAAGTAATGTATTGTTGTTTAAGTTATGAAATGCTTCGTGTTTTGTCTTACAATAATCACAAAGTTTTTAAGAAAAAGCACTAAGTGATTCACTGGAATCTTAAATGAGTGGTGGTAAATGAGGTAGAATAGGTGAGTATATAAGGAAAAAGGTGATGGAAGTACTGTAGTGTGGAAGAGCAACATTTTTGAACCATTCAGAAATAGTCAAGTCATCTTTATAAGGAATACCATGCACAGTACAATGGACTTCTAGCTCTATGTCAGAGGCCCTTTTTCTCAAAACGTGGTGTGAAGACATATGTTTGTAAGCATAGACCACTCTTACTCTAACCCTGCCTCTTCATAATAACTGTTTGTGAATGACTTCTACACCAGCTATGTTACAAGTTATTTGTAGCACTAGAAAAATAGTATGAAACTGGTATTTGTGATTTCGTCTCTTCATAAACTATGTTAAAATGTATATTAACATATTTTATAATGCATTTCTGTTGTTTTTCCTACATATCTAGTATGAAGCCATGAAGTTCTCTGCGAAGTTATTAAGCATGTCTATATCAATAAGAGAAAACAAGCAAAGTCCTGAGCTGGTAGAATTTGCATTAACTGGCTTGAGTACGGTATTTACCCAACGACCAGGTGCACAAGCAATAAGGTGAACTTTCTCTATCAAACTGGTTTTGCTCCTCATTAAAAGTTGATGGCTGCTAATAAGCGTTTTAAGGATCTGTTACAATTTTCAGCTTCTATTTTTCACTGTAATTTCTTGTGTAGTTTGAGAGCAGAATCATCCTGGACAAAGTGAATGGATATTGTTTCTATGATTAAGGTCTCTTCATCTTTAGAATTTTTTGTGCCAATAAAGATTTTCTCCTTTTTTTCAGTTTAATATTGTTATGCACAAGCAGTCCAGTTACTAACTTTCTTGCTTTGAAAAGTCACCGTTACTCCTTTTGAAACTTAATCTGATCTCATAACGACTTGTGTGTAGGCATTTAAAATGACTGGAAGGTTTTCAGTTGAGCTTTTAGATTTGCAGAAGAAATCTGTAACTGATGATTTTGGCTTGGTTTTGTGCTCTTCACAGTAGATGATGAAAAGCAGTGATATAAAATATTTTGTTTTAATTTCAGAAGTAATGACTTAAAAATTCTGGGGCAGGGTGGCCTTCCTGTTTTAAACCTTGTCCCCTCTACTTTGGGTCATATTAGTATAATCTATGCATGATAGTGTTAAGATAGTGTTGACCTTGATGAGTTTTATGCTTTTTTTTTTTTTTTTAAATTCTGCTTGCAGCTTTTCTATTTGTTCCTCTGTGCATCTAAATGTCCCTAATAATGCCATCGTACTGAAAAAAAGGAAGAAAATATTATATGTTTACAGTGAAAAACTTAAAACTTTGAGTGTTGAAAGATAAAGATCTTCAACTGAGAGCTCTTGAAGAGAGTGGACAGGGTATTAAAAAAAGAAAAATCCTACACCTAAAAAATACTTCGTCAAAGTAATGAGGCTGTTAATCTTCTGTTCCTCTTGTGGTTTTTTCTTTTATTTCTCTGCAGAGGGACCCTTCCCTCTCTGCTGTATCTCTGGTCCTCGGTATAAATTATGCCGTCTAATTCCTGAGCTCATAGTACAGAATTCCTATTTGCATGTCTCTTCCCTCCCCTGACTCCTGTCCTCATGAAAAGTGTACAAAGTGAATATCTTGGACCCCCTTTCTTATTCAGTCAAGGGTGGCTAATAGACACAAAAAATAATGAAATGGAAAACAGTTAACACATGGATATATGTGTTAACTAATATCATTAGACTAAGCTATTTATATTTGATGTAGGGCAAAGATATACTGTTGTAGTTTTGTTTGCTTTATTGTTTTGGGGGGTTTTTTTGTTGTTTTTGTTTTGTTTTTTGTTTTTTTTTCTTTCAGCTCATTCCTTGTATTCTTACCATCTTATTGTACCTAGCCAGATGGATATTACATCTGAACGTGCTGTCTGCCTTTCTTTACAGATTTGAAACAAAAATTACCTCACTTGAAGTTACAGGCATGTCTCGAGAAAAATGTACACCCTGTCTCTTATCTTCTCGGACAGTCTATTCAGACAAGAGTACCTCACTCTTAAGCATAATGTTTGAGACTAATCCTTTGGATGAGAAAGCAGATCAGAGGCTTAGAATAGAATCACAGCCACTGGAAATAGTGTATGATGCAGTAAGTAAATATTTGAATAAGTTATAAATCCTGAAAAAAATTACTTAATAGTAAATTTGACGTGTTATTTTTTCTTTATTTTAACAGATGACAATAAATAACTTAGTGGATTTCTTCAGGCCTCCAAAAGATGTACATTTAGAGCAACTGACATCAGCAACTCTGATGAAGCTTGAAGAGTTTCGTGAAAAAACATCAACAGGCAAGTACTGTATGCTTTTCTGATTGCACACTTGGAGAAATTTTAGATTCTAGAAGTATGAAAATACTGTATCTTTCCATATGGAGATGCATGGATCCAAGTCATAACTTTCTAACACAACACCTGAATAAGTTCAATTCTTCAATCTCATTACAAAGCATTTGTTCAAGGTATTGGATAATTTTATGTCTGTATCTTTTTCATCTTCAACTTTCTTTGTACAACATGCTCCATACCCTGAGGTAGTATTTCAGTATTTATTCTCTTATATTCCATGTGGAGTTAAAAACAGTTTGTTAATTTCAACTTTTTGTTTTGTTCGTTTGAGTATCTATATGTCCTTAATTGTTTAATATTCTTAAAAAACTGATACTGAACTATTGGTCCTCTAATGATACCCCTAAATCCTTTCCAGAATTCTTGCTTTTCAGGACACTGCCTTTGTATAGGCGTTTTCCGCCTCTTTTATTCCTCAATGCATGTTGACTTTGATCTGGATTGACTCAGATCAAGTAATATAAACTATATTTTTCTGTCTTCCAGTTACTCAGCATTAGAGCTGTTCCTCTAGTTTTCATTTAATCCTAGCTTTTTATATCTAGAGATCTTAGATTTTGATACGTGAATGACTATAGTAAATACTTTGAAGACTAACACTGAGATTTGTGGAATTAACTTGTTCCAGTAAGGATACCTGAGGTTTTCTAGGTCAGAGGTGTGCCCAGCACACTGTCCTGTCTCTGACTGTCAATGGGAGAGAATGTTAAGGGGAGATTTCATATGTAAATTCTTTTTAAAAGGAGAAAAAAACCCCAATGAATATGTGGAGTTTTAAAATTTAATTTAAATTTGTGACCTATTAATATTTAAATGGAAAGTTTAAAAAATCTGACTACTCAGTGGTATTAAGTGAAATAAGTTACAGAAAACTCAGGCATAATGCATATTTAATTGATTGCTTTTATCAAGCTAGTATCAGGAATGGAATCAGGCATTGTATTTCTGTTCATTAGTTCTTTGACTGAACTGTGTAATTAAGGATTAATGTCATATTAACTAGAGAAGGTTAGGTGGATCAACTTGCTTTTCTATGAGAAATTTCTCTAGCAATACTGAATATATTGATACTACTGTTCATTTCTGAGATTCATATGATAAAAAATTGCTTAATTCAGTATGCTTGGTTCGTTACTCATTACCACCAAATACTCTGGTTCTGATTGTGATTAATTTGTTTGTGTAAATATGAACCATGCTATGTGTCTGTTGTAATTTAAGCATAGCATTACTTTAGAGGTATATCCAAGGATTTTTACTTTCACAAGAATGCTGAGTTTTAAAAAGCTTGTTCCACTCTCATATGAGAATATGGAATTTTCTAAAACCATGCTGTGCATTGTTTATAAAATCGTGGCTGAGACTTACAAAATTACTAAGTGGAGAAGGTTTGATCTGCAGAGTATTCTGTTGCAGGGGACTCTGCTAGTGTCAGAAGTAGAATTAAAAAAATGGTGTCCTATCAGTATAATTAATAGGTTCAGACTAGCAGTCCTCAGGAAAGAATTTCTAGCACTTTTGTTTCAAGCAGCAGAAGATAGCTTGGAAAGATATTGTGGGACTGTGAACTGCAGAGTGAAGGAACTCGCTGCATCAAAATAGTTACAATTTTCAACACCACTAAAAGACATTACACAAGCTTAGTTTCCCAGAGTTCAATTTATGGACTCAACTACGTTCTCTTCCCAAATGAAGGAAGAAAGAATGTCTTTTCCGGAGCTTTCTACATCACTCAAATGCAGTTAGGCATTGCAAACTGAAAAAAATGTTAATCTTTTTATTAATCCAAGTTGTTTTATCTTGCAAATCCTGAAATGTGGTTGCCATCCAGTTCTTTATTGACTAATCTAGTTCTTCTGTGGCAGGACAACCTTTGATAATGTTGGAACAGTTTTAATTACTTTCTTCCAATGTGGGAGTTCTGCAGTGTCACATGGTCATCTTCATAATTTATTAGTTCTACTTCTGCGATTATCAGCTTGTTGCACCTGTAATATTTACCTGTATGGTGGTTTCACCTACAGATAAGACCACACGGTCTTAAACTCACTCCCCGCACCCAGTAAGATGAGAAGGGAATCACAACAAAGGAGTCATGGATTAGAATGAGGACAGGGAGGGCTCACTCACCAGTTATGGTCATGGGCAGAACAAACTCAACCTGGGAAAGAAAAACCAATTTAAATCATTGCAAATCATCTAACTAGACATAACCACATCTTACAACACCTTCCCCCACCCCTCCCTTCTTCCTAGGTTCAAATAACTTTGCTCCTGATTTCTCTACCTTCCCCCCCAGCAGCACAGGGGGCAGGGAATGGGGGTTACAGTCAGTTCACCTCTGCCACTCTTTGTGGCGTGAAAGTCCAGGAACAAAGCATTCCAAAGCAAGCTTCCCATGGAGTCACAGACCTCTTCGGGCTCAGCTCCTGACTCTGGCATGGGGATGTCCATAGGCTGCAGATGGGCCTCTGGTCCAGTGCACCCCCTCCCTGTCTGGCTCTGAGGGTCCACTCCTGCCCTGGCGTCGAGTGTCTCTGGCATCTCAGTATATCTCAAACTTGTCCTGGGGCTCAGGTTTCTGCTCCAGCATGGAGTCCTCCATGGCCTACATGTGGGTATCTACTCCACCATTAAATTTCCATGGGCTGCAGGGCACCTCACTTATCTTCTCCTACCCCATGCGGTTGAACTGAGTGTCTGAGGTTCTTCATCCTCCCACTTCTCCTCCTTCCTCCTGGCAACGAAGCTCTCTCTTTGTTTAGGCTGATGGTCATCTTTTGTTCAGGTCAGTGGCCTCTTCTCCAGGTTCTCTCTGCCTTCTTCTTTTCAAGACACTCCCTCCCTCATAAATATTGATTCAAAGAGGCGTTTATTGC